TGACCTCTGTTCAGATACTTCTTTCTCTTGCCGCCACATACTCTTGGCCTCTGTTTCAACTTGATATGAAGAATGCTTTCCTAAATGGAGATCTACAAGAAGTGTATATGGATCTTCCTACTGGTTTCTACAGTGATGCTGAAAAGGGAAAGGTATGCAGACTTAAGAAGTCACTTTATGGCTTAAAGCAGTCTCCTAAAGCATGGTTTGACAGGTTCAAGAAAGCCTTGGTTGCTTTTGGCTACACTCAGAATCAATCTGACCATACCTTGTTTGTGAAGCGGAGGGGATCCTTGGTGTCAATCCTAACTGTTTATGTGGATGATAATGTTGTCACAGGGAATGACCTAAGTGAAAGAAGAATCTACACAGAGAATTTGAAATTAAGGATCTTGGAGAACTCAAATATTTCTTAGGCATTGAAGTTGCAAGATCAAAACATAGAATTTTTATCTCTCAGAGGAAGTATGTCTTGGATCTTGTACAAGAAACAGGGAAGCTTGGAACAAAGGCAATCAGTACTCCTATTGATCAGAATCACAGAATTAATGCATCAGAAGGTGAGGCAGTAAAGGACATTGGGAGATATCAGAGACTTGTGGGGCGGCTGCTATACTTGTGTATGACAAGACCAGACATTTCCTATGCTCCACGAGTCCAGCATTGGGAGGCTGTTGACAGGATTCTTGCTTATCTGAAGGGACAACCGGGCAGAGGCATATTGTTTGTTGATCATGGACAGTTGAAACTAGAGGCTTATACAGATGCAAATTGGGCATGATGCGTTGATGACAGGAGATCTACTTTAGGAGTATGCCCTTGTTGGGAGTAACCTTGTCTCGTGGAAGAGTAAGAAATAGACAGTGGTAGCAAGATCAAGTGTCGAAGCTGAATACAGGGCCATGGCACATGGAGTTTCAGAACTTCACTAGATCCGTTCCCTGTTAGGAGAGATTGGTGTACAGGCAGAAGAACCTATGATGTTGTACTGTGATAACTAGGCAGCAATCAACATTGCCCATAACCCAGTTCAGCATGACTGGACAAAGCACATTGAAGTGGATAGACATTTCATCAGAGAAAGGGTGACTTCTGGGGAAGTTTGTCTCCCATACATTGCTTCTGATCTGTAGCTTGCTGATGTTGTCACAAAAGGTGTTGCAAGGAATAAGCTGGAGCATGATCTACGCAAGTTGGGAATGTGTGACATTTACTCCCAACTTGAGGGGGGAGTGTTGAGTTGGGCTAATTTCTAGTTATTGGGCCTAGTTATTTAGCTCTTATATTTTTAAGTTGTTGGGCTTTAGGCCCATTAGCTTATGTTTTTAAGTTGTGACTGTTCAGCTACTTTAGTAGCCGCCCTACTAAGGGCATTCTTGTAATCGCTTATTCTTTTAAGTATAAAATATAATGTGGGGTTGGCGGCCAGAACTAATTCAATTCTGGTTGACATCCTACTCTTTCTTTCTTCTCTTTTCTTCTCTACTGCTGAAACTCTTCATCTTCTTCTTTTTCTTCACAAAGAATTCATCTAGATTTCCAAAAAGTGATTTCTACTCTTAGAATGTCCTATCTCAGAGTAGCCCTTGACCTATTTAGGTATTCCCTAGGTGCTAACCCAAAGGAGAGTCGTTTTTGGAACCTTGTTGTAGAAAAGTTTGAAAAAAAATTGGCAACTTGGAAAAGAATTATGTTTCTCTAGGGGGTAGATTAACTTTAATTAGGACTACGCTTGCCAATCTATTGATTTATTTCTTCACTGTCATTAGGATTCCTTCTAGGGAAGCTAAGAAGATAGAAAAACTGACGAGGGATTTCCTGTGGGAGTCAGGGGAGGAGAAAAAGGATCACCTAATCAGGTGGGAGGTGGTTAGCTTAAGTAAGGATTAAGGAGGGGGACTAGGGTTGGGGAACCTAGCTTTATAAGAATGAAGCTCTACTAGGCAAATGGTTATGGAGATGGCCTTTAGAAAGAAAGATTGTGGCATGAGGTGGTGGCTAGTATCCATGGTTGTTCTGAAAGTGATTGGGACACTGGGGTATCTCGACGGGCTACTCTTACAACACCCAACAAGGCAATCTCTAGCATTCTCCCAAAGTTCCTCAGGTTTGTAATGTATGATGTTTGCTCTGGTAATTCTGTTCTTTTTTTGGGAAAATACTTGGTTGGGTAACCAACCTCTCAAAGACCAATTTTTTTTTTTTTTTTTTTATCAATAACAGAAATTTTATAAAAAGAGATATAGAAATTACAACCAGGAGGGAGGGGTAAAAAGACTTAACCCTCTCAAAGACCTATTTCCCTCCCCTTATTTCATATCCCTCTTTAAAAAGGAGCTGGTTTCCAGGTTCTTATCCTCCYCATCCCTCTCGTTGTCCTTAAACTGGGATTTTGGCTTCCGTAGAGGGTTGAGGGAAGAGGAGTCTGCTTGCATAGCTGAGATGCTACTTCTACTTGACTCTATTTGTTTAGACCCTCTTAATCCTGGTAGAAGAATTTGGACCTTAACTTCTCTAGTACCTCTTTCTTCAAGTCCCTCAGCTTCTCCCTAAAATAGTGGTTTTCTACTGGGAAGTTTACCATGGAAAGATGAATACTTTGGACAACTTGCAAAAAAAGAAACCTTTTATGTGCTTGTCCCCAAACTATTACCATCTAATGATATCTTGCTCCTTTGTTGCAGCTATTTGGAATTTGGATTTTCTTGTTGTTTGGGTGCAGGTGGAACTTGCCATCCGATGTGAACTCGCTCTTTGATCTATCTACCTTTGGTTGGCCCACGAAGAGGGGGAAATTAATGTGGAAATGTGCTAGAGCAGCTCTGTTATGGACTATTTGGGAGGAAAGAAATGCCAAAATATTTCAAGGAAAGCAAAGGAGTATTACTAAAGTAAAAGAGTGTATCTTGACAAGGGAAACCTTTTGGCTGAAAACTACAGCACTTCTTGAGAATTACTCCCATGATAATCTCAGGAGAAACTGGGCAGCAGTGGCTTTGACATCTTCTCAAAAGATTAGAATACAAGCTAGCTGGCTACCAGAGGGCGCTGTGAAATTGAACTTTGATGGATGGGAGTAATCAAGGGAACCCAGGACTGTCGGGCATAAGGATAGCAACATTCTTTCCTTATACAAAGGACCAGTGGGAGTTGGAGACTCTACAAGGGCTGAGATATTAGCAGCAATACAAGGAATACAGCTTGCCAACCGACTTGGAGTGGAGAATTTGGTAATTGAGGGAGATTCCAAGGTGGTTGTGGGTTTGTTGGTGAACCCAAATACTGTTAATTGGGATTATAGGCATCTCCTAAGAAGAGTCAATTGGCTTACAAGAAACATGTCAGTTAATTTTCAGTGGGTTAGCAGATCAGCAATGCTTTGGCTGATTCTCTTGCTAAACAAGGGGTCTCAAGGGTTTCTTTGTACTGGGCAACTTTGTAAACTGATTTCTGTCTAGTGTGAGTATTGTGCTTTCATCTTTAAAGAAGAGGTCGCATCTCGTGCCTCTTCTTAGGCTGTTTGTCTGCTCACTATTCCACTCTTAATATCAACTTCTTTCATTTATCAAAAAAAAAAATGCACAATACTGTATGTCTCCGGCAACCCATTATAAGTAGAGAGGGCAGCCCCAGGTGCCCACCTTGATTACATTAATATATCCCTGATGGAATGTTAACCCAAAACAAATGATCCCTTTGCACCCCTTGCCTAACTAATGCATCAGCTAGATTATTAGCTAATATCTGAAACCATGAGAAAGACCTAAGAAAGAGCAATTTTCTTTCTAAATTCTAAGTACTTTCCTCCTAGATCTTATGACTAAATATAGAGGCCTTTTTGCCATTATATATGACAATTATCTTCTTGGTTGGCAAAAACAATTACAATATTTGATTGCATTAGGTTTCCAAATACCTGGCATACAGCTTGGTACCTACTAAATATGGTTGTATTTAAAAATTTAATTACATTTTGCCTCTTAAACATTCAAATATTACACAATTAAATAATGAAACAACAAAGCAAGAAGAGTTCTAGTTTTACTATATTAGGCTTCTATACATGCATGAATAATTTGCTAATTTGCTTAAACTACAAAGTAATTAACATTGACTTACCAAATATTGAACAAATATCAAGTCTCCCCCTATGCATTTTATGTGTAAAGCAAGTTGTGAAACTACTTTCCATCTAATAATCTCATGATCATTTGTATCTAGTATATATTATTTCTTCTCTCTCTTTTTTTTTTATGAATATTTCTTCTCATTTTTTTTTTAGTTTGATTGGAATCCTCCTAGGGATGCATATAAACTATAAAGGCAGATATGGTTTGGAGTTTGGACTGTCTGGGAGGAAAGAAACGCCATATCTTCAAGGATAAGGTCCAAACCAGAGAAGCTGTGACAGAAAATATTACAGTGAAGATGGTAGACTAGGTTAAATCCATGAAGATTTTTCACCCTTTCCATATCTTCTTAATGCAGATATGGAAGCAAGGAAAAAATCCATGGGGAAAGAAATTAGTTTTCCGATTTCTACACCATTTGCAGAATTTTTGGATGATAGCATATAGTACAGTTTAAGTTTTCTTCAATTAATTCTCTACTTGCAACCATCTCAAGGATAGTCTTTTAGTTTCTCAGAAGTTCACTGTTGTTTCGAAACTACTACTTTTGGTAACATCAGGACTTACTATTTATAGTAATTCCAGTAATTACTATTTGTATAGTAAAATTGTTATATGCTATTTTGGCAATTTCCAGTGGCTTTACATTAAGTTAGTTTTAGTAGGATAAGTAATGAGTTATTTTGGGAGTTAAAAGAGTCCTAATTTGCTTGTCCGAATGGATTACTTACAGATTTGTCTTAGTTCCAAAGCAAATAAAAGTTAATTATGGACCGTTATATCTGATCAGCGCATGCATGTTACTTTCCATGTGTGTGTCCATGAGTGTAGGCATGTTCGTAAGAGAGTAAAGGCATATTGCATGCTTACCCCTGGCTGATCAACAATATTCACCGCAAAACGCTCACTAGTGGTTGGAGAATAATTTTCAGAGAATGGCCTGCATTATGAAAACAATTTGAGATGTCATTGAGTCAAGTCATAATAATCATTTGAGAGAAGCTCTCTGATGAAGTGCGTAGGGCTGAGATGATGTACATAAGGAAGCAGATAGACAAAAAGGCCATATGAGGTCTACACTAGCAGAGACCTATCACTATACAAGACATCCAATAGAGGACCATATTTAGCTAGACCAGCTGCTACATAATTTATTTCCCTTGGAATCCAGTACAGATTTGCATTCATTACACTCACAGTATCTTGGAAACAGCCTCTCTGTGTATCTGCGGTGGTAAGGCTGCATATATCTGTCTCTCCCCAGACCCCACATTGGCGGGGCCCTCATGCACTGGGCTACCCTTTTTTACACTCAGAATATCTCCAGCCTCAGCCAGGTAGTGATTAGTCTCCAAATACCACCCTCCTCTTCTACAAACCACTTAATAGTATTTGCAGAGTTTCCTTAAATGATTAGATTCCAAATGCCCAGGTCTCTACTGATACCGATACCAATAAGAGTGGCCAGGACATCTGACTTAGTGGAGTCAGCATACCCAATTGGTCCATTATAAGCCCAACAGATGTTACTGTTCCTCTAGTTATCATCCCTTCCTTTCTTGCACCTGGACCTCAAGGGATGGTAGGAAGCCTAGGGGAGGAGAACAAAAGATTAACCACACTATTGGGCTCACTAACAAAATACCTTTAGGCTAGACTTGTTCATGGGCCGGGTGGCCCGACGGGCCGGCCCGACTCCCGGACGGGCTTGAACAGGATTTTTGGCCCGCGGGCTTAACCTCGGGCTAAAAAGCCCGGCCCGCATAAAATTCGAGCCGGGCTCGGGCTTTGCTAAAATAGCCCGGCCCGAGCCCGGCCCGGCCCGACTTATAGTTAAACTTAAGTAAATCCGGCCCGACCTATAGTTAAACCTAAGTAAAAACCCTATGTGATGTCTATTTGAATAAATTTTTTGATTTGAGGTCATTGATTCACTTGTAGATCCATTGTTCATTTAAATAGGGGAAAAAACATTTAAATTAAAATAGAAAATGTCAAAAAATTTTAAATTTCTTTTATTAGATCGGGCTTCGGGCTCGGGCTCGGGCTTCGAGCTTTTCATCAGGGCCGGGCTCGGGCCCAAATTGTAGGCCCGTTGGTCGGGCCGGGCTCGGGCTCGGGCCTAACAGTTTTCTGTTAATAAAGAGTCAAAGCCCGGCCCGGCCCGGCCCGGCCCATGAACAGGTCTACTTTAGGCCTTGTTAACTTTTCAAAGGGTCACTTAACCGGGTAAGCACTTACCCAGGTAAATGTTTCCTGGGAAAGTTAGAATGGGCAAACTTGTCCCATTATGTTTTGTAAACTTTTCCCCAGGTGGGAAAGTTATTTGCCCACCTAGGAAACTGACTTTACCGTAGGGCCCAGAGCTTTCCAGAAAAAGAACACTGTAAAGTTGGTCAATGGGCGTCATTTTCCTATTCCAACTTCCCCCCTCCTATTTCCCGAAAAACGAACAGGGCCTCAAATAGATGCTATCGTTCCTCTCTTTAATCAGTCCTTCAATCCCTGCCATTCCCAGTCTTCTTGAAGCACTACCATCAGAATTAAAGTCCTCACCCCTTCCTTTCTTGCACCTGGGCCTTGAGGGATGGTTAGAGGCCTAGGGGAGGACAACAAAAATGTTAATCACGTTCCTATTGGGATCACTGACAGAAATACCTTTAAAGAACTCGGAACTAGTGACCCACAAGTTGCAAATTGCAATTGTGAGTAATGTGAGAGATTTAAGTCTTCCTAAGATCTGGTCTTGTTGTCAAATATGTGATTATTCATCTCTTCCTAAACACCCCACATCACCGCATGGATAACTATTTGCCAGTAGACCTTACTTCTCTGACTAAGACCTCTACCATTCCACTGTCAAAGGAAATCCAAAATACCCTCCAGAGCAACCGGGCAGTATCCCATAGTGTTGAGAAAATAGTGCCAAATATTTCTAGTTTCCTGGCAATTGAAGAGAAGATTATTAGCAGATTCCCCACCACAGATGCATAAAATGCAAGTACGAAGGGAGAGACATATTCAATCAATATTCTTCCATTGGAAATCACAAGTGTTTACTCTCTTCACACAGGCTTCCCGAACAAAAAAGCAAACTCTGGGAGGAATGTGAAGGGACCGGATCTTCTTGCAAAGAAAGGAAGTGTTCTGCTCACCTGCAATCAAGGCCTTGATGAAAGAGTTCGAAGATGATATCATTTTATTTGTGGAGGCTACCTTGAAGAATACTTCTTTTTTTTATCAGTAACAGGAACATTTCATTAATACAGAAAAAAAGGACATACAATGAAACACGACAGAGAGAGGAAAACTCTCTTAACTCTTTCTGAGATGACAGCTGATTACACTAATTACAACAGAGCCTTTAAAATTGATCCCTTCCCACCCCTTGCTTCAATGATCAGCCTCCTTATGTTCAGCTCCTTCACCTGTTGAATTCCTTCCAATCACAGCCGTGATTTCAGACCTCAATGAACCACCCATACCTATTGGGCCTAAGTAGAAAGCAATAATTCTTCTCTCCTCATTCCAGTACTACATCAAAGTTCAGCTTGATAAACCCGCAAGTAGAAAGGGACCAGGTTGGCCTGATGACAACTTTAGAGAAAGAGGAGTCAGCCACTTCCTTCCACTATCTAAGCAAGTCATTGGTAGAAATTCCTTTAAAACTGCTCAAAGATTTTACCCATTCGACCACTCTGATGGTAATGGTTTTCTCAATGAGTGCTTCTCCACTCCTCTCGTTATCTGAAAAAACTCTTTGGTTTCTTTCCTCCTAGACTGGTCCAGCAAATAGCCACTCTTGTGCACCTCCACAGAATTCTCCCCCTTCTCTTTTGCCAGTTGACAAAGGTAGAATCAAACAAGCTTTGTACATTCAGCAGGAGGTTCCACCTGCACCCAAACAAAGACAAACCAGCCCCAAATAATAGAAACAAAAGTAGGAGGTTAAAAAGTGGTAGAAAGTCTCATCATTAGCCTTACAAAGGATACACCAATTAGGGGAAAGGCACCTATTTTGTCTCTTTCTTTGAAGGAGATCACAAATATTGATTTTTTCTAGGTAAACTTCCCAACAAAAACCACTAACCCTAGGAGGAATAGGCTTGTTCCAAACCTCCTTAACAAGAAAAGGCACCACAGAACTGTTAGGGGGTTGGATGAAGGTTGACAAGGAGGCACAGGAGAAAGAACTAGAGTATGCAAGATATAAAATCCAACTGTCTGAGCTAGAAGGCATTAAGAAAGAAAAAACAAGCTCATCCCTAAGGTCAGACAAATTAACAGAGATGGAAATTGTTCCTTCAGTGGGGAGTAAACCTGTTCATGAGCTGGCTCGGGCTTGGCTTTTGCCAAAACTTGAATGGGCCTGGCCCGAAGCCCAAGTCTGAGACAGTGTGTAAAGTTTGGCCCGAAACCCGGCCAGGTCTGGTGGCGAATCACCCAACCACACATGTTCCCAAAATTTAACAAGTTTTCAGAGGACATGTTATATCTGATTATTGATGGATTTCTAGCATGAAGCTCTCATTGCCCTAGCCCAAAGTCCAGCATCCCACCCGTCAACTGCAAGCCCATGGATGCTTATAATAATCACATTTATCCTTTTCTGCTGGCAATCTCCATAACCACTTACCCAAAAGAGTCGTATTCCTTTTATGGATATTCCCTACACCTAAACCACTGAATTTCTTACTTCTACTCACCACCTCCCAACGAACTCTATAATCCCTCTTCTTCTCCCTTGGTTCCCATAAAAATCCCTAATCAATTTTTCCAATATTCTACTCACCCCTTCTAGAATTTTAAACACTAATAAATAGTAGACAAGCAGATTGGTCAAGATTGACTTAATCAATGACCTACCCCCCAAAGACATATAGCTTCTCTTCCATGAAGCCAACCTTTTAATCGATCACAAAAAAGAGGCCAACCTTTTAGTGAACCTCTCAACCACTGGGCTCCAAAATCTAGCATTCCTTGAATCATTCCCCATAGCCCTAAATAGGACTTCAACACTTTTTGAGATCTCTCTATTCCTTTTTTTTTTTGAGAAAAGGTAACTATTATATTCAAAAGGAGTAGGGGGGATGCACAATTGTACATGAGAGGATGTACAAATAACACAAACAGAACAAAGCAACTAAGAACCACCCAACTTAAGGGGGCAATACAACTCTTATCAAGATTGGCCTTTAAATATGACATTTTCTCAAAAAGTTGGACAACCAATTTCAAATTTTTGATCCACCTAATTCATTCCTTCATAGAAAACAATAGTATCATTTGCAAATTGTAAATGTGTTATTGGGACACCCTCCCAACAAACTCTCCAGTCTCCACCCCCTCACCAAATTCCTAGAATTTGCCCTAGAAATTAATCTTCGAAGAACGTCCGCARTTAGAGTAAAGAGGAACGGGAAAGTGGGCCTCCTTGTCTAATTCCTCTAAGGGCAAGAAAATGATCCACAAGAGTCTCATTCGCCAAGATAAAGTAGTGACAAGTCCTAATACACCCCTTGATCTAATTGCACCATCTACCTTCAAAGCCAAAAGTTCTCATTACCTCCATTAAAAGTCCTAATCCACCATATCATAAGACTTTTTTTTAAGCAAAGGTAACTTCACCATATCATAACTTTTCCAAATCCAACTTGCAAACAAAACCCGGACTCTATAGTGTGGTGTTTTAAGAATGAAATTAAAAAATTCAACTGCCTGAGTAGGAGCTTGACAGTGAGAATACAATGGGTGGGGAGATCAACAAACCCTATGGCTGATGGTCTTGCAAAGCAAGGGGTAAATAGGGAAAGTTTGTATTAGGCTCAATTGTAGACTGAATCTGTTTTCTACTTGTCTTTCTTCCTGCTGTTAGGAGAGGACACAGCTCGTGCCTCTCCTTGGGAAGCTTGTAACTGCATTAGTTTTCTATTAATGAAACTTATCTTTTTATTTATCAAAAAAAAAAAATCACCAAAACAAAGAACATTACTTGATTGCTGACCAGAACTTGACTTCTCTTTCTTCCCTCCACTGCAGTGATTCCCTAGATCAGACCTTTCAACATGACTTCCACATTGATCTATCTCCTCAAGGTTCTTATGAACAATCCATTTCCACAGATTTTCACACAGAAACGCGTGCCCAGCTGTTTGACTCTGCTTGAACTTTCTCTCTTTCAAAACCCCTAACTTGAAGCAAGGTGTCTTCGAAGTGGGTAATGGGAATAGGATAACATTATAGACTGAACTTTCTCTCTTTCAAAACCCCTAACTTGAAGCAAGGTGTCTTCGAAGTGGGTAATGGGAATAGGATAACATTCTAGACTGACCTTTAATGTGATGATTCTGCTTTGGCTCTCTTTTCCCAGGATTTTATCCTTTCCCTGAACAAAGATGCAACAATCTCCTCTTGCTTTCCTGCTTTCCCTACAGAAAACAGTTAGAACCTGAACCTTAGAAGATCCCCAAGGGATGTGGAAGTCAATGCAGTTGCTGACCTCCATACCCTTAGGGAGGTCTACATTTCCCTTCCCCCACAGGCCCCACATGATAAATATTCTATGGACTCAGTTTCCTATAGAGTTTGTGGTCATTGTCCAGATGTTTTACTTGACTATCAAGTTAGGAGATCTTTTTTTTAGATATCTTCTGAAGGGCTACACAATGGGGGGTAGCCCATCCCCCAACCCAGGTGCAGGTGGGATTCGATCCCAAGTCTCCGCTATGACCAGCAGGAGACCTTACCAACCAGCTGGTTGGCACCTTGCTATCAAGTTGGGTTAGGATATCTTAGGAGACCTTTAGAAGAAAATATTTGGTTTCACTTTTGGTTTAGAAGTCAATATTATTTTAATAAGTAAATATTTCACCCTATGAATCTATAAGTAGAGTGAAAACCTATATAAGACATAGTTGATGAATATATTAATAGACTTGTAGGGTGAAATGAAATACATTTTATGAGCAGATTTGATTCTTTTGTCCAACATCAATCCTGTAGTAGAGTGATACAGAAAATAAAAAACTGGACCTTAAAAGGTAAAATTAGAAAACTTAAGTCAACCAAAGAAACAATCCCGAGCCTTAGCTGGACCTAACTTAAACTATCAGTAGTTCACCAGGAAGCTGGTTCAGAAGGCTCACCTTCCAAGAAATGAATTTAGCAATGCAGATTTTCCAGCATTTTTAGGCCCAAATACAAAGCATTGGTACACATTTCTTTCTGATTGCAGCTTTTTACGGTCCAATCGTCTTCGCCTGGTTATACGAAGTGCTGAAGCAGGATCACCAACATATCCAATATATATCAAATTAGATAGAGTTCGAGCTGGGTCAAGTAGTGTCATGAGGGCCCACTGCAGCCAACAAAAATCCTCAGCAAGTGTACTTGAAAAAGACAATGAACATGACTCATGGTTTAAAATCTAGAAAACAACAAACCAATTGGAGGTCAATGAGATTAATATGAAACCAAAACAAAAAAATACCAATATTCATTGATTAGAAGTTAAATGGGAAGGCATAACAGTGCATAACAACAAAGCACCTATGAGGCATGTCACTATGCTTTATATACTAGGTGTCTTATTGATTTAATAATTGAGACCTTAAGTGTTGACAATCAACAACCCGTCAGAAATCAATATTCAAAATATGCAGCCACAACAAAAGTTCACCAGAAGTCCTCCATGGAATAGAAGAACTGGAGCAAACATATCATTCCCCTAACCACTACCAAAAGAAAACAAAAAAGAAATAACTGTTTGCAACTTACTCATAGCTACACTTAATAAAAAGGTAATGGTTGCAAAAGAATAACTTCAAGCTGTTAATTACTTTTCCCGTCATAAAATGACCACATGAAAACAAAACACCCATGTGAATTAGTTGCACAGTTCTCATCAATCCTACATGCAGGGAAAGAAAGCAAGCATCAATGGTGCCAAAATTTCTGAAACAATGCTTACCAACATCAATTTACAACAAACATAATAGAAAGAAGGTAGAAATTTTGATCTAAATTGTAACCAGATGAAATAAAAAAAGAAAAGAAAAAAAATTGTATGGAGATACGCACCTGGGACAGAAATCCATCAAATGATAACCCATCTAGTGCGGTCTTCCCTGCAGCATCCTTATATGGAGCTTCATTCCAAGGACTGAATTTCAAATTTTGAAAAAAAAAACAATATAATAAATAAGAAAACATATAAAAGGAAAACTCTAGTTTAATAGAATTTTGACAGAGTGGTTTCAACCAATTACATGAAAATCATATAGCTACATAGATTAAATTGATGGTATACTAACAAAGATATATGCATCTCAAGCATGAGTACTATCAACATAATTTCACTATTGGTACAACAGTTGATATTGAAAACTCAGAATCTAGGCTTAAACCTATATGTAGGAATACACACAATATCAAATAAAACACCCAGAAAGATCCTAGATTTTGAGGTGATCAGAGTGACAGAATGCTTCTACAAACCAAAATCAACCCAAGCAATTGATAAAATTCTTCCTATTCCATTTATCAAAACAAAATCTTCCTATTCCAAAAAAAAAAAAAGGTGACAATGAAACAGTACAATATCCAAAATGAACTAATGCAGGAAAATAATTTTGAAGAAATTATTGGCAGACATAGAAACATAAAGGAACAATCATAGATGCAACACAAAATGCATGTCTGCAATGCACCCACCTAGATGTCTAGATACATGTATGCATTTTTTTGTACAAGAAGAAATTTAAACACTCTCGTCAAAATGTTAGAACTATCTATCTATATAATTTCACTGTCCTTTCTGATTTCATAATGAAATGTTTTTTTCCTAATACAATAATAGATCATAGATGTCAAAGTATAACACCCATTCTAGAGTTTGACATCACAATACAACCAGGACACCATTGTGGAACCAGACTGCCAGAGCATGGAGCAGAATAAACTCATCGCATGAAAATTTTGAAAAGCTTCAATTTGTTATAACATTGCTTCAGATGCGTATGCATAAGGATAGTTAATTTTTCTTTTTTTGGCAGGAAAACATGTGGGAACTTTTTTTTGCTTAAATTTATTTATTTATTTTTGTAATCAGTTGTTTTTTATACATGAAAGATAATTTTATTAAAATCAAGAGAATCAACCATTACAAGCAGCCCATGGAAAGGTGTGAGCTGTGAGCTCTTCCAAACAGGAAAACAAACAAACTGGAAATACAAATCACAACAGAGCCCAGTACAGCTTATCCCTATTTTCCCCTTGCTTGGCTAAGTAATCAGCCATAGTATTAGCTGATCTTCCCACCCATTGTAATCTAAAATTCATGTTTCTTGTTTAACCACTTGAATTTCTTGATTTCATCCCTGTAGCACCAAGAGATAGACTACAGATCCTCCAATCATCCCACCACCGCCTAAGAATCACTTTGAATCATCAAATTCTCCACTCTTAGCTCATTTGCAATCTGGAATCGAAGGGGTTCTTAGAGATAAGGATGGTGTTGTTATGGAGGGGTTCTTTGCAAATTGGAATTTTGTAATCAGCTGTTTGTAACATAGAGAATACATAATAAATGTTATGTTGTTATTAAGAGAGACGGTGTAAATAACAGTAATTCAATGGTGACAAAATTAAAAGCGGAAAATTTGTATGGCAGGTGGATGGTCATGGTACTATCATTAGCATAACTACTTATGATATGCAAAGAAATTTGGGGGAAATCCTTTTCTCTTCACCTAGACCTTCTTGCAGATCAAATACTATTCCTATAAGTTTTTTTTTATAGGAAACGGTAACTTTCATTAGAGAATTGAAAGGATTACAGACTTACCACCAACAAAATGGATGGAAAAAAACAAAAAC